TATATATATATATATATATATATATATATATATATATATATATATATATATATATATATATATATATTACTATTTTATAATCTTATTTTAATTTTTTTAATATTATAAAATTAGCTTTTTGCAAATCTAAATACCCTTCTTTCTTTCTTTTTTTTCTCTCTCTTTCTTCTTCTTCTCATCTCCCCTTCGAAAGACAACGTCGAAGGAACGATAAATAGAGTCGGACAACATCAAGAGACAACAATAGTGAGCGATACCAACAAGCAACAATGGCAATTAGCAAAGAGACGATGGGTGCTTGGGATGGGAGAGTGGTGAGTAGCATCTACAACGAGCAAGATCAGTAGAATATCAATAATGTCAATACAGAGGAAGAAAAAAACAAAGGATAGAAAATGATAGAAAATAAGAGGTTATCGTTATTTTAGAAAATGATAAGAGATTCTAATGTCCTCGGCTTCGACAACGAGGATGAAATAAGAGATTGTGAGGAAGAAAAAAAAAGGGATAGAAAATGATAATACTATGAATATAAATAGTATAATAATATTTTATTATTTTTAAAAGACGTTATCGTTGTCCTCACCATCATCTCCATCCTTGTGGTACTATTGTGGAGCATCAATTGCTTTCGTCAATCCTTGTCACGAGGGCCTCCTTCCCCTCCGCGAGACCTGTTAACTTTTACGCTCAATAAGGAGGCCATTGCTAATGACATCGAGGAGACAATCAATAATGATGAGATAAAGACTACTGATAAGGAGGTTGCTACCATAACTGACAATTGCTACCATCCAACCTACAGCAAGAACAATCAAACCTCCTCCATGAAGAGAAGCCCAATGACGCTGAATCAAACCTCAAGACCATAAGCGACCAAGCCAACCGGCTTGTAGTAGGGTGAAGATGAAGGGAGTTCATCACGACAAAGCCTCACAATGGTGACGATGCAGTGGTGGTAGGCGATGGATGATAACAAGCAGCATTTACGAGATTAGTGGTATTTGTAGTGAGCAAGATTGATGATGTTGATAGGGAGTGGCATCGACAACGAAAATGAAATAAGGGGTTGTGGGGAAGGAAAAAAAAAGATATAAATCGATAATACTATGGCTATAAATAGTAAAAAAATATTTTATTATTTTTAAAAGATGTTGTCGTTATCCTCGCCACCATCTCTGTCCTCGAGGCACCGTTGTGGAGCACCAACTAATTTCGCCAATCCTTGCCATGAGAGTCTCCTTCCCCTCTGCGAGGCCTATCTACTTTCACACCCGATAAGGAGGCCATTGCCAATCATATCAAAGAGACAATCAATGATGGTGAGATATGATTATCGATCCAAGCTACAACATGAATAATCAAACCTCCTTCACGACCTTTCACCACCTGAGAGAAGCTCACTGATCCCGAGTCAAACCTCAAGACTATAATCAATCAAGCTAATCGCCTCATAACAGGGTGACAACAAAGGGCGATCATCATGATAAGGCCCCACAATGGTGACAATACGATAGTGGTGGGTGATGGACGATAACAAGAAGCATTTACGAGATTAGTGGCGTTTGCAATGAGCAAGATCAACGATGTCTGTTGGGAGCGATATCAACAACGACGATGAAACAAGGGGAAAGGAAAAAAAAAGAAAAAGGATAAAAATCAATAATACTACAACTATAAATAGTAAATAACATTTTATTATTTATAAAAGAGATTGTCGTTATCCTCACCACCACCTCCGTCCTCGTGACACCATTGTGGAACACCTACTACTTTCATCAATCCCTATCACGAGGGCCTCTTTCCCCTCCATGAGACCTATCTACTTTCGCACTCGAGAAGGAAGCCATCACCGACGATGTCACCGACAACCATGACATCATGATCAAGCTCCTACTCAACAAGATCCGAGCATTGAAGGACAAGCAATCTAAACTATAGCGAGAATAGTTAGACCTCCTCCACAACCTTTTGATGCCCAAGAGAAGCTCATCAATGCCGAGTTAAACCTCAATATCATAGTTGACCAAGTCAACCACCTCATAGCAAGGCAAAGGCGTTCATCGCGACAAGGCCTCACGATGATGACGATACGATGGTGGTGGGCAATGAATGATAAGAAGAAACATTTGTGATATTACAAGAAACATGAGACACGATTTAAGAAAAATAAAAATAGCAACAACTTCTAAGAAAAACCCAAAAAGAAAAACTTTTTCAAAGAAACCAACCAAGAAAAAAATAAAATAAAAATATTTTATTAAAAATCATAAATAAAAACACATAATTTATTTTTAATTTAACTAAGATTTTAATTTATAATAAGCTCAACTTCAATAAAAAAATCTTTATATAGTATGACTGAGGCATCGCTGTAGAGAAAAAATTGGATGAAGATGATAATGCTATATAAGCCCCAAAGTGTGCAATTTGTTCTCGAAATAAAATTGAAAAAAATTAATCGGATCATCCCAAACTTTAATGGGATCATTCACGGGGAATTTAGTAGGGCGTAACAAAGACGGCTATCATACTTGCGCCCAAAAATTAAACTGTTCGAACAGTTCTACTTCTCATTTCCAACAGCAACCAACAAAACAAGAACATCATGTGTCTATCGAAGGAATACAACAATGAAACGAGTAGGCATTGCTTACACCTCGCGTAGATCAAAACAGCAACAGCCGCTAGAATTGAGTTGGATCGCCCCAGTGGTACTCTTGTCAGTCATGAAGGGTACCGAGTATATCATCATCTTTGTAAAGATGGTACCTGGAACGTAGGCACAATGTTCAAAGGAATATTAGCACCACATCAACACAGCAGTGTCTGATAATCCAGAGACAATGAACATGTAGTTCCTACTTGAGGAGAAAATAAACAAGAACACATTGCTTAATTGAGCTATCAGACAATGGCAAGTAATAAATTTTCCCAAGATGGTTATATAGGGGTTAAACATCTAGCCAATCTATATAATTTTAAGTTGCAATTAAAACTAATAATATTTATTACAAACAACCTATGCATGTTATTAGAGCTGAAAATGAATAGTCGAAAAGGGTTACTAAGACAGTCCAATATCAATTCAAGCACTGGGGTCATGATTTCTGGATCAGATTAACTCACAATGCTAGCAGCTCAGCCTGGGTTGAGTTTGCTGGTTAAGGCAAGTTTGTCTCATTCTCTTAGAAAGTGTATTCTAAACTTGCAATTAAAGAAACATATGCTTAATCAACACTCAGCACAACTCAACTAACAAGTCTAGACTTTTTAATCTAAAGTTGACTTGCACCAAACTCATGAACCATCTTTTTCCATTAGGACCAGACAAAAAACATTTAGATAATGGTGAAAGTCCAATTGCATGATAATTAAGAAAGGTTTAGGTTTACATTTTCTTTTATCGTTCTACAAAGTATGATTCGGTTTAGAGTTAAACATGAAATCCTCAAGAAACAAAAATTATAGTTTTACCTACTACAATTTTATGTTAATCTTTAATTTTAAAAAACATGTGAACAATTAATTTCGGAACATATAACATATGCCAATATTAGTAAATTTACTTCATCAAGTATCTTGAGTTTATTGACCAAAAACCTATCAAAATTTTATGTCAAATATTTGATTTAACAAAACATGTGAACGAATAATCTTTTAACAGATAATATATATAATGCATTCATTATATCACTTATTTTAAGTTAATTTGTTAAGATAAATTGGCTCTCACTGGAATTGATCTGCAGTATCACTTCATCAAAATGAAATGACACATGACAAGACAGCCAAAGACCATGGTGATGGGAAGTGGGAACAAGCCCTTATCATATGATAGCACAAAATTTAAACCTCAAACCCGGTTTGACCATTGGTATTCAAAATATAGACAAACTAATCTGTTGAAAAATGAACACAAGCTTCAGGAATCAACAGTTATGTCTCATAATTCATTTAACAAATCATATGCTCATTAAAAATATCTGCAAAATCTAATTAGAGTTTTGGTTATCGAGTAAATAATCAAGAAGTTTAACATACTCTTTATCTCCAAGTTTCACTTCTGTACCACCATATTCTGGCAGTAGGACTGTATCTCCTTCCTTCACAGAGATAGGAATGAGATTCCCATTGCTACAATGAAAACCAGGGCCTACCGCTACAACTTTTCCCGAGTTAAGCTGTAGAAAAAGGTATAGAATGATAAGCATAAAACTCAGCAGCTAATTTTAAACAACAAAAAATGTGCCATAGAAATATGATGCAGCTACCTCACATAAGGACTATGTTCCTCAATGTGCACTTTGTGGTTGTATTTGTATACATATATACATACATATACATATGTACACACACAGACACATACACACATATATATACACACACCTTAGGAATCAATTGAATATTTTTTTAATATTCACATAAAAGCTGCATCTTGTAACTTATGCAGCAACATAGTGCATACAAAGGCCATACTTTGGTCACTTAAGCACGATGGCCAGGTTTAAGAACATTGCATGACTCACTGCCAGCTACTACAAGAATGTGACTCCCAAATCTTACTCTGTGGTCTAAAAAAATCATTAGTGAAACTTCATAACCACCACAATTTTCATCTCAAAAAGTGTCAGCTTATAGCTTGTCTATTTGCTTTCTCTTAGGTCAAATCTTTCTCCCAGCCATTGCATGCCATTATGTACATTCTTCCAAGTTGGTGGTGAAGTCCCTCGGTTAGATTCAGTCATCAGTTCCCACCACCACCCAAAAAAGGGTTTCACAGAGCCTCAAGCCCACACCCTCTACTTGAATCTTTTTGTATACACATCTGTCAAGTAGGGTTAGGTTAGTCGATGGTCTAAACCATTCTGATTTTTAGGGATTCTGACGGAGGTTGCTCCTCATTATAGAAACTAAGTATGGTGGATTTCCACATTATAATCTTGGTCAATACACATGGAAGTTACACAAATCTTGGTGTCCATTGCATATGATTCGTCTCTCTTCTTCTCGTCCCCTTACCTCCTTTCTGCAATGTGGGCACTGTCCAGATGATTTGGTAATATACCTATACTTCATTATAATATTTTAACATTGCAGAATACGTCCATGATAGTATGACCTCAAATAACATAGATCTTGTGCACCTTTAACGGTTGTCATAACCATTATTTGAATAACTTGGAGAGTAAAAGTACTATACCACAAATTTCCGTTTTGGTCGTAGCAAAATTATCCTTTTCAGTATATAAATTCAATTTATGTACTTTAACATGAACTTCGCAAACCGTAAGTGTGCATGCATGTGCAGAATGACACATATACGCTATGTTTGAAAGACAATTGCAAATAGATGTTTCACAGAACTCAACCAAAGACATATTTTCACAACATTCTTGTAGAAAATAAGCCAGATTCATTTCCATCAAACAATGAACACACGAGTCACTAACATCGCGGGAAAGAAACACCTACGAAAAATCCTCTTTCAATGCCTTTCCTCCCAAAAAATATCAGATATTTTCTTTCAATTAGTAGAATACTCAAAGATCAACGGGTAGGAGAATGGTATAAAAGAATAAAAATCTGGAAGCCCTCAAATGTAAGCTATACCGAACAATTAAACAAGAAAAGATAGAATCGAACAACAAACAAGCCTAATAATGCGTCGAAGTAGGAAGGGAGTAAAATCTGTCCCGAAAAGATAAAGGGGTCAATAAAAACAACCAAAAAAGGAGAGCTGGTCCGTGAAAGCAGGAGCGGAAGAAATCGACATCAAAGGAAACCATGACAAAACTCGAATAGAATAATAGAATTACAAAAAGGATAAGAAAAACACGAGCAAAGAATATATCCAATTAATGGCGATCGTTTCACCTTGGTAGTCTTCTCCGGGAGGAGGATCCCGGCGCTGGTCTTGGAGGGCGGGACGATCTTCTCCACGAGGATGCGATTGAGGGAAGGAATCAGACGCTTCGCCATCGGCAAGGAACAATGGCGGATACGAGAACCTAAAATGCTCTTTTGCGCTTCCTTGGCTGCTCAAACTCGAACGCATTAGGGTTTAAGAAGGGCTGGGCCGTCTTGCATAGTCATTTACCACTATACCCCCGACACTCGTCTATAATTGCTGATCACTTTACCTTAGTTTAGAGTGTGAGGGAGGGACAAAAGTGGGAGCTTGGGGTTTACAACTTCTCTAGAAGGTTCCAGAATTTTCTCCTTCAGGTATAGAAACTTAAACAGGCCCAAGTGGGCCGGAGGCTATCTTTAAATAGATGAGTAACAGCTCAGTTGGGCCGATGGATTAACGAGTTAAATTATAAAAAAATATAATATATTTTTTATCATATAATGAAAGAGAATGACAGTGGCAAAGCGTACACAAGATAGAAGAGTAAGAACATACTGAGATTTTATTCTGTGTCTAATTAGTGAACATTCGAAGAAAGCAACAAATGTGCTATTCCCAATAAAATCAAATTCTCAATTTATATAATAGATTGAAGAAGTAGCAGCTGCGGCAGCAGCTGAAGAGACACTGCACCTCAAGAAAGAAAACACCACCATGACAAATACAACATGGCATAATACAAGCTTAGCCTGTGAAGACAACAAGGATCAAAGGGAACTTACAGAAGAATGACCTTCCAAAAGTTTTAAGATCAAAACACCTTCAACTCGAAAAAAAATTGTTGACAAGAATTTCTACGCTCCGGAGTGAGAGACCGGCGCCGTTGTGAACTCACCATTTTTGAAATTGTGGAGGTACTGCTGTGGTAGTGAATGCTCAACCTGCAGTCATCAGCAACAATGGTGGAACGGTAAGTCAATAACACATTGGTTACTGGCTAACTCATCTTCTGTTGATGACATATCACAAATTTTGATCAGATAAGTAGGTTGATCCAATGAAGAGATTTGATAGGCTGTGTTATTAATCTTAGAATTCTGATTTATGGTTAAACTTTGTTTGGCAAGACATTGAATAAAAAAAATGCTCATTCAGAAATGAAATGCACAAACAGAATCTACTAAAGAATCCTGAAAGAAGAGTAATTGGCTGAAATTTCATCACTCCACTCCCATTCACTAGCATAAACGGAAGCAAAGAATGAGATCACATGACCGAAATGTTTTTAATCTTAGAGCATGAAATATAGATGTTTTGTATAAAATGAAAAAATATGCTTTTGTTCTATCTGCCAATTGAGAAGGGAATATTAAGGAAACAAAGTAGAATCTTACCCAGTCACTGTCAGGGCCAGCACCAGGAATTAATATGTTAATTTCACTCGATTTAGCTGTGGTTATAGAAGTCCCGAGTGAATCATTGCTTAGATACAACTGGCAGCCAGAAGTATTGTCTATTGATACTGTTGGTGCTGAACCCTGCACATATATGGCCTAGTTTACAACAGCGATATACATTTGAAGTAAAAATAACACGAGAAAATGCACACTAGACAGTAGATACTGACAGGAATGAAAGAAACTTCATCTTTTTGAAAAATATATCAGCTGACTCAATTGACTTTAATTCAAATCATCAATTGCTTTATCATTTTCAGAATTGGTAAAATATCAGATATATGTCTTATGTGAATCCATCTATGATCATTTACTAGTTGAAAACAAGGTTTGTTATTTCGAGTACCAGAACCATGTGACCATGATAGCATACCATATGTCAGTGCACTAGTACATGCCGTGGTACCAAGAAGGAGCAGAGTTGGTAAGAGGAAGAACAGGAAGAGGAGAAAAAGAGCAGGAGGAGAGGGAGAAGAGAAGGAGGAGGAGGTGATGAAGACGAAGAGGAGAGGAAGGAAGAGGAGTACAGGGTAGGCCAATGGCAGTAAGCGATGGGCTGGTGGCAGCGAGCACCAGGAACATTTAGAGCTGACCTGATCATGTTTGGTACTCCTTATGCTTTGGAAACTTGGTAATCCGAATCAGGATCAATTGGAGCTGACCTGACTGCTCATAGAAATCAGCATAGTTGAACACGACTTAACCTAAAGGAAAACTATAAAAGAAATGGAAATTAAGAATTGGAAAAAGTTCTATCTAATTTATTAATGGATGACTCCAGCTGGAGATGCCTATTAATGGCATGGGATGACTTATGAATTGAGCAATGACTCATCAATGATTTCAAAGGTATTTTTGTAACATCAATTGAATCGACTGAAAAATGACACATTAACTTTGAGAAATTTATATCATAGGACTTAAAATACTTAGTCCCAAACTAATGATAGTAGATTCATCTAGTCATACAAACCAACACAATTCTCCTCTCAATTTCAGAAAGTGGGACTATATCACTATGTAACAATCTCCCTCACTCTACAGATAATCTTTTCCAATTTCAGTCATTCATCATCTCCGGTATTAGATCCATTATGATGTTGTTTGTCACAAAGACCTGATCACCACCACAAGGTTCAAAAGACTTGACTATAATTTAATAGTAGTAGATTCATCTAACATTATAAACTGATTATATTCTCCTCTTACTTTCAAAGTGGGACTAAAAGGATATGACATTTGCCCTTCTGAATATAACTGAAGAACCCTTGGACACCAACGGTGACTTCTCATGGACTTAAAAATAATGCATTCCTCAAAGAGCCCATTAATTTTAATATTTTTGGAATACATGATATGCATTTAACTTAAACAAGTGATTAGGGAAAAAGATGTGTTGATTTTGGAGCAGCCAAACCATCAACTTTGATTTGTTTTTATCTTTCTTAATTCCTTCCTGATTTTCCATGCCAATTTGTTAATTATATAGATAATATGGTAATTGTTTAATTATTTCAATATAACTCTTTAGTCAATATTTTTATCTTGTATGATTCATATTTTTATATATATTTTTTATTCCATATATTTAAATTTCTGATTTTTTTAGTCATTTATATTTTTATTCTTGATTTATTTTTGGAAAATCTTAAGACCCAACCCAAATTGTTTAATTTGGCCAATCCAATTTGATCCCTAATTTTTACCAAATAATTGATTCCAAATTCAATCATAATTTACTTCAATTTTAAAAGTAACTTAAAATGCTAAGATACCTGACATTGGACTTCAACACCATTGCAATTCACAATTTCACAAGCTGCTACAACATCCTATATGACAGGCACAAAGAGAAACTGTTACCATCACATCTAAACACTATAAATAATATGGCATATAAAGAAAGTCTTTGTACATGCATATTCTCTACTGACCATAAACACAATCCCCACTTTGGTGCATTTATCAAGAGTTATGTTGTTCACTTTTCCTGCAGCGTAAATAAAGTTCCAAAGCCATATACATGTTAAGGAGGACCAGATTAAATTTCTAAAACCATAAAAGAAGAAATACATCTGAAAATGTAAATAAAGACCTAAGGATTACCTTTGACTTGTAAAACAGAATCCTTGCACCCAAATATATATACAGACTGCTTTGAGTCGCAGTCATCTATGATCAAGTTTTTATTTCCAATCTGATTTTCAACTGACCATCTGCCCAACATGTATTTAACAAATAAAAAATGATTCAAAAACAATAATACGAAGAAAAGGATCCCTATAAGTATAATAAAACTGTTAAAAGTAGTATCCACTTTAGGAAGAAAATTAAAGTTATTTACTTTCGACCCATTTGAAGCTCAAATTTGGGAGATGCCTTAGAATTATTTGAAAAGGAACTGGTGTGACCACGTTTTTCAGTTGCAGCTACAGCACCACTTCTGTCAACTCTATTTTTGGTCTTCATGTCATCTGTAACTTTCCTCAGACCTAATAAATAGAGGCCGACTCATGTTAATCCATTACCTCAGGGTCAAAAGTAAAATAGTTCGTTCTACAACATCATATACCAGCAGTTACTGATTTTCCAGAGCTGATCTCTTCAAAGACAGCTGACATTCCTTCTTTAGGACGTGATGGTACAGATTCTGTGCTACAAAGTGGTGCTTTGGGAGGAGGAGGTGAAGCAGGGATGCTTGCTGTAGGAGCTTTTGTGATGGAAGTAGAGTACAAGGATGCAGAATTAACAGAACCCCAAGCAAGACCTGTTGGATAAAATCTTTTGACATAGTCTCGTAACCCTGGTACGTATAACTCCTTCAAGGCTTTTACCCATTCTATGTGATCTGGATTCTTATTTCTGTACTCCACCAGAATCTGAATACAAAAAGATGGAAATTATTTTTAAAATGAACTAATGTAATTCATGAAATCTAAAAGATCTCTTACCAGGTGAATAAGCATCTCATATTAAAATGATGAAAATTATGTACAATCTAGTACAAGAAAATAATATATATATAGTTTATATAATACTGGGTCAAATCAAGAAATTATGAGTTAGTATTTATGGGCATTAACAAAGCTATTTAAGTAACAACAAATAGATAAAGGGGTATGATATTATGATCATACATTTGAGGACCATGTATTATACTGTTCATATATATAATCATATAATGGATAGTTGTAGAAAGAAAAAATAAATCATATATATGATGGTGTTTTCATAATCATGCAAATTATATAGGCTTTGCTGACACATTTTCTTGCATAGTGTTTATCTGACGGCCATAGGAAGCTGTACAGACAGCTTTTTGAAACATTGGTGGGCAACCTATTAGCATTCAAATATTTAGGCTGATCAGCAAGTATACATCTTGCCTAAATTTACCGGCAACATTTAAGTCACAGCCAGTCGTAAAATTTAACAAATATCCTGCAGAGTTTTCTTCATTTTGCATTCTCATAGTCAGCATTATATTTGATGATGAAACACATTTCAACATTCTTATTGGAATAAAACCCAAAGCATAAGTTTATAGTTGCCAGAGTCCAGACAGAGATTTTACTTATTGAAAACTAAGTTACTACACAATATAAGAAACGTTTCTCCACTTATCCATGTTCCTCTTACTCCATTTACAGTCTTTCGGTGTTCCAAAAAAGAAATTTATGGAGATTCATACGCATATTTAGTTACAGTTCACTTGAATTAAGGGTTATGTAGCCTCCATATATAGCGTAACTAAAGATGCGAAATATGGATCACACATGCGATCCATGTAACGCAGGAAATGCAATCACATGTTTGATTTGCATGGATTCCTTATTAATAACATGAGCACATTTACAGGACTACAATATATGATCTATTGTAATATAACAATTAGTGATAAGATCGTTATCCACTTCTTATGTTTATCACTTATGAGTACAAATGTAACTCGACAAATTTGATCTGATTGTTAGCGTATTTACTTAATAATTATTTGAAAAATTGTATATATCTTTGCTTGTCCTTTACTATTTTATTTGAATGTTATAGTTAGTACTTAGATCTGGCCACATGACATACATGTGATTGACCTCCCTCATACCAGGAATGTTTTCTTGAATATTTGGCAATCTCCTGTTCAGAATAACCAAGCTAACCGAGAAATTAGACTTCTAATGAAGGTTGAGCAGCCATATGTGACATGACATGAGAAATTATATCCCATCCCAGAAACATTACAAGCTAAGGATCCATACTATATATTCTAGTTCTCTTACCAGTAGATTAGCTGATAGCTTGCAATCTAATCGTCAATACACATACCTTGTTGCTGTAGAATTCAGCCATCTGCCAACTTTCTTCCACATGTGCAATTGGCATGCTCATTCCTGGAAGGAAATGAATATATTTTGTCAAAGAAGGAAACTTAAGTTCAACATAAAACAAAATGCAAAAGAACAGGCCATATTGTAAAATGAATGAGATCAAAGAATAATAACGCACTAACCACAATTTTTTCCTGAGTAACCTATCCAAGCCAGAGCTGTTAGACTGTCAGCAACTGTCTTCAAGTGGTTGAAATAGTCAGATCGCTTTCCTTCTGTCAGGGAATTTGCTTTGACCATCACATTATTCAGCGGCTTTAAAAATGCTGCTAAACCAGCAAGGTCTGGCTTCTGTGGCATCAACGAAAAGTCTCAATCAAACTCCAAACAACATTAAGCAACCTAATAAATAGATTGTAGACACAGTGCCACATGCTTAAGAAAAAGCATTTTCCTAAACAAATTAAAACAAATTAAAGTTAACTATAAACCAATCTGTGAATTTAAGGCAAGGTGAGAGACTACCAACAGATATAATTGCCACAAGTTATTTGCAATAGATTAAAGATTTTAGCCAAAAAATAAAATCAGTACATGACAACATATGAATTATAGAAAAGACACATTCTTTGTCATTCTAAACTAGGAGAAATTTTATGACAGAACCATATTACATTTGAAGATCTGATGCAAGATGAAAGCAATGAAATGGCCTTTACCATCACAATCGACCACCTCTCTAAAACAATTCTCTGTAATCAATGCAGTTTTAAGTGTTGAATATGCGTTTGAATTGCCATTTGCGGGCAGTATTGTCGTTAAAAATTACTAAACAATTCAGAATAAGACGAAATAGAGCATTGTCATTACTCGAATTCGACACCTAAATTCCCTGCTTCTTGATGCCCAACAAATATTATCTAACCCAAAAAGGAAAAGTTCGAAGCAAATGAAAACCATAAGGAGGAGAGCTTAAAAGACGAGGAATCACCGATACTTGGGCATTGAAGAAGAGATCGGGTTGGACGCGGACCAACCTGGGATCGTTTGGCCTTGACGAGAAGCTCCCTGAGCGCGGCAAACGCCTCCTCCAGTATCTTCGTCGCGTCGAGGACCTGCCCTCCGATTTTCCCTGCAGAGGCTGAGACCCGGCCAAGGGAGTCGGCGACCAGGTCTTCGAAGGCCGAGATAGCCGGATCCAGGGCCGAGGGGTCGGGGAGATCCCTCGACGATACCAACGGGGCGGATCCCGAGGCGGCGAGGGTCTCAAGCCGCGCCACCGCGGACTCCAGCCTCGTCAACAAAGCCTGCTCCATTCTCTATTAGGGTTATATCGGCGAGCTCTTCCCTCCCAACACCAGAGTTCTTCGAGGCGACGCGAGACGAGCCGAGTTCGCTCGTTACTGCTTCATTATATATGGATCGTTTCCTCTTGCGAGGGTTCGTATACCTTGATCCGTGGGTTTCGCGTGGTATTCGCGGTCGGTTCGCCACGTGGCAATTAACCACCAAAAGCAACTGAATATATATATATATATATATATATATATATATATATATATATATAT